CTATTTCTTTTTTTAAGCTGAGCCATCCTGCCACCTGTTGGCAGCTCAGCGGCTGCTCAGCCCGGGCCGGGAATCAAACAGCCGTTGCTCAGAGCCCACCATCCCATGTGGGAATCGAACCAGCAAACTTGTTGTTAAGAGCATGCGCTCTAACCAACTGAGCCATCCGGCCGCCCACCGGCAGCTCAGCGGAGGCTCAGTTCAAGTCGTTGTCTTCAATCTAGTTGCGGAGGGTGCAGCTCACTGGCCCATGTGGGAATCGAACCGGCAAACCCTGTTGCTCAGAGCATGTGCTCTAACCAACTGAGCCACCTGGCCGCCCCTATTCTGAACTATTTTCAGTTCATCAAATGAGCCATGTTCTGAGTCTCAGTCATTTGCCCTTGCTGGTTCCTTTGGCTAGATTCTCTTCCTGACCCCCTCTCCCTAATCAACTCAACTTTGAATCTCAGCTTTAATGTTATCCTCTCTAGGAAGATTTTCGTTACCCTCTAATACTAATTTCGGTGCCTCTCTTTATTTTTTAATTTAAAAAAAATTTTATTTTTCAATTACAGTTCACATACAATATATTAGTTTCAGGTGTACAACATAGTGATTAGACATTTATATGATTTATGATAAGTCTAGTACCCATCTGGCACCATACATAGTTATTACAATATTATGGACTATATTCACTGTGCTGTACTTTACATCCCCATGACTTTTGTTAACAACCAATTTGTATTTCTTAATCCCTTCCCCTTTTTCACTCACCCCCCAACCCCCTCCCATCCTGCAACCATCAAAATGCTCTGGTGCCTCTCTTGCTTCCTTATCACTGCACACTTAACGTTTGTAGTGGCATTTATTACATTATGTTGTCATGCTTGTTTACTTGTTAGCCCTCCTCTTCATTAGATCATGCGTGCCTCGAGCCCTGGGACTGTGTTTATCATCATTTTATCCAGTGCCCAACATAGTAAATTCTCAAATACTTGACTAAATGAATGAGGCCACAAGCCACAAGGAGAAACAGAAGAGGAGGGATAATTTGTGCCTTGCACAAATGAGCAGTTAATGAGAACTTGACTGGGCACCTCAGTGTGAGACCAAAGGCCCTAGTTCCCTTGTGTAGGACCCCTACACAATTATAAAGATTTCATAGATAAGATTTAATTGGCTTATACGTAGGTGTTTGATGCTTTCTAAGTTCAGACGTTTTAGAGAAATCTATACTTTAAAAACCATTATTAAGGAGACATTATTTACTTTGCAAAAGGATTTACTTCAGTAAACATTTAAATTTCCTGGGTCTTTAGTGGTTCGATTAAAGTTTATTTTGATGTTTGTTGGGCTCTGTCAGTCATTGTGCTTGTCTGGAGGAATGCAATTTTGAATACACTGTAGAACCTTAATTTAAGGAAGCTATGAAGTATGCAAATCACGAATTACATACTAGGTAGATTTAATTAAGTTATGTGAAGTATCAGTAATGTGTTGAGGGAGAGTTAAGAAAGAAACAATTTGTTCTGACTGGGGGGATGGAGAGACGTAATGGTGGAGTTGGATTTTGAGGAAGACCTTGACTTACATCTAAGAAAGACAGGGAGGGGAGAGCAAGTATGTCAAAGGCTTGGCAGCATGAAGGGTACGTGGTGAATTTGCTTTCAGTTTTGCAGGGTTACATTTCCTTACAGAAAATCAATGTTAATCACCTGATAATAGGATGGAAATTTGCACATAAGCTAGTGTTTCTAAATGTGGGTCATGAAATCAATTTTGAAAGTTGTGACCAGTATAGTTTCTTAAATAGAAAATAGCAGAGACTGATGCTTAATAAAGGTAAATATGTTTCATAATAATTTTGTTTTAAAATATGTATGTATGAGGGGCCAGCCAGGTGGCGCAGTTGGTTAGAGCTCCAGCTTCCGGTTCGATTCCCACATGGGCCAGTGAGCTGAACCTGAGCTGAGCTGCCACTGAGCTGCCAACAAGTGGCAGGATGGCTCAGCTGGTGAGAGCACATGCTCTCAACAACAAGTTGCCGGTTTGACTCCTGCATGGGATGGTGGGCTGCACCCCCTTTAACTAGATTGAAAGCGGTGACTGGATTTGGAGTTGAGCTTGCGCCTTCCACAACTAAGATTGAAGGACAACAACTTGACTTGGAGCTGATGGGTCCTGGAAAAACAATGTTCCCCTTCCCCAATTCCCCAACACTGTTCCCTTCCCCAATTCCCCAATAAAATCTTAAAAAAAAAAGTATGTATGTATTGGGTTAGAATGTAAGAAATGTTCTTTACCTTAGTTTGCAGGAAAATAAATTTGAAAGCCACTAATAAAATCAGTACTGAGGGGCTGAGGCTTCACACATTCTCCTTCTGGTCTCTATATTTGGGATGGGTAAGGTAGAAGGATATTAGTTGACTTATTTCCCTAATGAACCTTTGTAGCTTATGGCAAAGTAAATTAGCCCCTGGCTTTCTTTTTACTCCTGAGGCTGTATTACTATTTATTTGGCATGTCTTTTCTCTTTGCAGATGATTCCCTTGTAATGTGTAAATAGTAAAGATTCTAGGGATCTAGAAGTGAGTTATTTTAGGACTGGCCATTGACCCTTAAGAGCTCAGAGCCATGTGTTAGCTTCTTATTGTCCACTAGGTGGTACTGTGAGGGGTCAATATTTGCAAGTTACCTTGACCATCAACTCCAGCTTGTTTTGAGATTAGCATATACGTTTACTAAGCTGGAAAATCTTTTCTTTTCAGGCTCTCAGGCATTCCAGGAGAAGGTATCTAGAGCTCCCTCTTCTTCCTAACTATAACCTAGTCCTACAAATTGAGGAGGATAGAGAATCTGGGAAGGAGCGGCTGCAACTTTTGGTCAGTATTGCCATCTCTCAAAAGAGATCAGGAATGCTTTCGTTCTCCCTTGGAGGTAAATGAAGCTAGTGAACTGCAGTGGAAGTGATGGAGGTTATACCCTAAAATGAATAACTGACTGGGGTTATAGAATTGGCTGGGAGGAGGAGAGAGGGGAGATATTAAAGGATCACTTCCTTGGGAAAGCAACAAGTTACGGAATTTGATTAAATTCAGCAAACATTTTTTTCAAGAGCCTTCTATAGGCCAGGAGAATAAAAAATTGAATAAATTTTGGCACCTCCTTTGTAGAACCTCAAGAAAAATAAGTAGGTAAGCCACTCAACAATAACACAATATGATAAATACTCTATTAGGGGCATACACAGGATACTATGGAAGGAGAGAAAGGATCCCAAAGTCAGCTGTGGGGTTGGAGGCAGAGAGATGTGGTGACTAGGGAAGGCTTTTCAGGGGAGATGACCCCTAGACTGAGACTGAGCCTGGAAGGATGAATAGAAGTCTTCCAACATCCTAGAAATCTACAAGGTTCTGCTGTACTCAAGTCTCCCCTCGTGAGTTTATTTACTCCTGTGATTTCAATAATTACCTTTGTGCTAATAACTCTCAATCTTTCTCTAGCCCAGCCATCTCTAAGACCTGCCCATCCAGTATCTCCCATTTGGATTTGGTGCTTCAAATTCAATTTGTCTAAAACCAAACACTAAAAGTGGTCTGAGGCTATTTATTTCTATGGTAATAATATAATTTTCATCCTTATTATCCAGGTGGATATCTTAGTTATTTCTTGTCTGAACCACTGCAAAAGCACACTAACTGGTCTCCTACTTAGTTAGACCTCTTCCCACCATCCACTTCCCTAGTCTGTCCAAA